TCTTTATCCTTTCTGATAGTTTGATAAATACTATTCAGTGTAAATACATGATAAACAGATACATAACCTAACATAAAACAAGAAAAAACTGAAACAGAACTGCTAACAGTGACTGCCTTTAATAGATCTGAATAGGCACTTAGCTCTTGTTGTACCGTATTTTCTGTGTAGTTCAATTTTGACTTTTTCTGTAGAAATATGTTGCCCTTGGGAATAACCATCTATTCAGTTATGATAAAGCCACATAGTAGTCCTATAGAACAAAATTATTCAGAATTGGGTTGGTTATTTCCTAAGGTAATCACTATTATAAAACTGACACGGCTTTGAGGATGAGCTTCTGACAAGAAATTAACAATAACTAAATATTGTCAGCACAAAGATACAGCATAATACCAATCATTGCAAGGGAATGCAGATTGAATTCAGAGTTTTAAATTAGATCCTATGCTTTCCCACTTGATCTTGGCCAAGAGGCCGAGAAGTGATTAGATCCTATACTTTCTCAATACATGGAATTTAAAGTGTGTGAACAGATAACTTAGCAATAAATGTTGGAAACATTCCAATTTAAACAAATAGTAAGTCTTAAAAGCACACACACACACACACACACACACACACACACACACACAATGCCACCATCACCTTCACCACACCCCTGTTTAGCTGTGACCCATGCAGGAATTTGGACAGACCAAGAAATAAATGGGTAGTCTGGGTGTTCCTGTACTCAAAGTTTAGCCAGGATTGGAAACCAGAAGTCCCAAGAATTGTGAAAATGACTCTCCCTGCGGTAACTCTGGCCTCCTAGGAATTAGAAAGTACCATAAATCGCAGGCAAGGGACAGTCTTTGCAAAATTCCCGGCCCACATTTGCAGGCTACAGAGGTTCAGATGCCTTTTGTTATGGGTCAGAAAAACAAAGGGGCCTTCTTAGGCACACTTCTCAATCAGGCACAACCCGCACAGCCCTGTGGTTTGTCCATCATTCAGGCTACCAAAAATGCTGTCTAATCTGTACTTTATTTTTAATAGTCCCATCTGCATAGGCAAAAACTGCCCATATTTTGGAAGATAAGCCAGTCAACTCTGGAGACAGTACTATTCTCTTTGATTTCTTTTTGGAAAATTTCTAAGATTTATGGTGGGAATTAGTTATGACAGCTGCATTCTTTCCACTGAACTTAAACCACCATTTGGTCTAATAACTCCTAATTGTGTGTCTATCCTTGTCTAAGCTTCTTCAGAAGAAACAGAAGGTACAGAGTTTTAAAAATCTGCTGTAGTAATAATACCAGTAGTTTCTGCCAATGCTCAACACTATTTTGAAACCTTAGAAGCTACGTTGATAGTAAAATAATAAAGATATTTCAGTAAATGTAATTTGCTTTTGAGAAGTTTTAGTTGCTATTGCTAATGCAACTTTCCTTAAAAAAAAAAAAGAAAAAGAAAGAAAGGAAACAAGGTAAAATCGGTTCATTCCATCATGCCCCCTAAGTATTTTTAGCATAAAGCCAAGTTTCCTGTCAGCATTGACAGTCATGTTATTTGCTTGAGAAAGGCACCTCTCAAAGCATTTTTTTTTCTCCCAGATTTCACCAAAGTAAAACATGGGTACCTTGAAGACACTGCTCATTTAAAAATCATAAAAAGTTTAATTATATTTCCAAAGTAAGTAGTTTTCAATCCAGCTAGTATAATGTGGTCATGAAAAGGATGTCCAAATCCACCAATTTACATGGGTTTGGTTTGGCATAACTTTCAAAGATTTTGCAGTGAAAAAGAGGACAGCACGTGAATAATGTAATGGCAATCTGGGTAATATTTCTAGGATGTGGGATTTGCCGTTTCTGTGAGCCACTCAGCAGAAAACTAATCAACTTCAAGACTGTACCTCTGTAATTTATAATTGTTAAATTCACTTATAAGTTCCATATTTTTTTTGCAAAATGTAATACCCTCCTTTCCAATATCTGCTTTGTCATTTTCACTCTATTTGTGTAATTTTAAACGTATGATACCGAGGGAGTATAAACCACTCAGAACAGAAGGCAGTAATGTCAGAGATTGTTATTCATGAGATAGATGGTGTTGGTATCTGTGAATCTAAAGGACTTGGAAGTTGTGTCCATCAGAGTCATGTGCATTTAATATGTTTAACTTGCTTCCTCTTCAGTTTTTCTCTTAGTAGAAAAAGCCACAGTAAAATGTCTGTTCTGTGATTCAGGTGACATTGGTGGCCCAGGTGTGAATCATTTTCCCTATCTCCGTCACCAGCAAATCTCCCTTCCTCCTAAATCAAAGTTGAGTTATTAATTTAAGATGAAGATGCTGTATTTAAGCTAAACTGTATACTGCTTTCAATTATACTATTCAAATGTGATATCCCCAAGCTGCACTGCTCTTTTAAGTGGTTTTGATAATGAAACTTTAAAAACAAATTTCTACTAAAAATTCTCGAAGTCCCTTGTCCTTTTTTATGTGTGACTTTGAGCTTCTATAAGAGAACAAGAGGTTTTGGATATTGTGGGATTCATTGGTTGAAATTCAGTTAAATATTCTAAAGAGCATATATATTTTTCATAAAATTTTAACACTGCTTGAAAAATGGGGAGTCCTATCTTTAAAATAGAAATCGTTTTTTGTTTTTTTTGTTGTTGTTGTTGTTGTTTTGAAATAGTTTTAATGTAAAAGGAGACATATATTAAAGTGACATTTACAGTAATATTTTCTTGTAATTGAAATAATCATATTATTGATCTCTGATAAAGGCCCAGGTAGTTAACATCACAAAATTTAAAATAGAAATACAGTCATTTTTCTCATTTTCATTGTAAATAGATATCAGTAACATTTCACCTTTAATCTTTCCATAGGATACAACTAGTTTGAAGCTTCATATAAAACTATTAGGATTTCTTATTGGCGAAACATATACTTGCTCTACTAATGTTTCCATATTCTGTAGTCTTGGTCTATAAGTTCTTTCAAAACAATGGGGAAAAAAGCAAAGTGATTTCCCTTTGTTACAAATCTTTGTCTGTTTATTTGGGTTGGCAAGAAAGGTGAAATTGTCCACCACTCATTCTTCTAAATGGCATTTAATTACAGTCCCAAAGTTCCAAAACTTGAGTTCATGAGCAGCTTTTATAGACAGCACTGGGTCACTGAAGGTGATATTCCACAACTCCAAGATACCTTCGTTATGAAAGAGCAAACTTTGTAAACATTTGCTTCATTTTAACAAAAATTCCCTAAACTACAGTTAAATAACAAACATCAGTGACAAAAGAGGAACGTAATGGCTAATGAATTATTTATAATTTAATCAAGAAGTATTCTGGGTATCTGTGTGTGAACTTAAAACCAATAGTAAGATGAAGAGTGAAACACTTTTTAAAAATATGAATATGATGATCATTACTTTTAGCCGTCAAACACACATTGCACTGTAAAACCAACAGGAGTACCTTTAGGTTATTACAGCCATTTTGTAATGGAAAAAGTCTTTCTGGCTTTTATACATGCATATATCTTAGGTAATTTTACAACTTGTTAACAGCTCTCTGGCCTCATCCAATTCCTCACAACTTGTAATTCTTAGGAAGGAATAGAATCTAAGTAATTTATTCTTAGATTAGTTAAGAATTACAAAACTCACATAAATTAATACATTTGCTAATAGCTATTCCATTTTATTGTCATTATCCCAAGTTACTCTGTGGTTTATTACATGGCAGAGCAAGAACCATGGTAAATGATGGTTCTAAATTATGCCATTAATACATGTTATAATTTATATCATCCTACCTTGACCTGCTGAAGAAATATTTTGTATAATGGTAGAAATGTTACAATATAAACTATGTAAAAATATGGAGGTTATTAAGCAATACAGGAATCCATTTAACATCAATAAAATTCCCTGTAAAGTGTTTATTCTGTTAGGATATGACAGTAATTTCTACTAATTTATTTAGTACTCACCATTGTGAATTACAGTGATTAGCTGTGGTGTTATATCCCCTTCTCCAGGGAAAAGGTTACAAAAATGGCCTCTACCTCCACTGGCAATCACGCAGGCATGTCTGAGGACCTAGAGACGTCAAAGAACCCAGATTACTGCCGTTAAAATGATATTATTAGCACTTCCTTGTGACAGTAATTTCTATAAGTGATTTTTGTTTTCCTTACCTCTATATTCATCCTCTTGATAATTTGTACATAATTTAACAATACGCTATAAGCAGATTTGTTGAAAATAAATAGCCAATTATTTAAATCCATCGCCTGGGTAAGTTAGTTTGAATTACAGATGACTAATTTTAAAATAACCTGAAACTAAATTCTTATTATTTTCCCAATGGTTTTTTTTTATTTACCTGTATAATGGAGCATTTTGCAGCCTTGTATTCTACATAGAAGTTACCAACTTAGTAACTCAAGAATTTGTCACTGTGTCATTTCAAATAACTAAACCAATATATAGCATCCTGGAGCAATTGCAGCATGAGAAATCAATGAAAATAAATGAAATAGAATGGAGGGAGAAGGAGATACAAAAGGATAGGGAAAGAGGAAAGGTGAAGGGCAGGAAGAAGGAAACGCCTCACACATACTTGCAGTTATTCTATCTTCCTGAAGAAGAACACCAATGCAGATCCACTGGGAGGATCTTTCCATTCCCAGTTTGAGTTCTTTCTCTTGGGAATATGGCTTAGTTACAGAAAGTAATCTCAGGCCATCTAACACTCTTTTGGGCCTCAGCTTATTTCTTGATTTCAAATTTATGGATGATTGTGTTTGACTATTGTGATTAGTTTTGTAGAAATAAAATTTTCATGGTTACATCAGTTAGAACATAGAGATGCATTTTCTTTATGAGGAGAAGTTATTTGATATTGATTTCCTACCTTCTTACTTCCAAGATTTACTTTTTTCTCTTTCCATTTCAATTCTTATGTATGCTAACATAAAGTACACCTTTGTGTTTGCAGGTCTAGATGTTGATGGAATTTATCGAGTTAGCGGCAATCTGGCAACAATACAGAAGTTACGATTTATTGTCAACCAGGGTAAGTCATTTCCTCACCAGATATGTTTTCATGAATTTCATTTCTAAGAGCATGTCTAGATTTCTGCTGTGTTTAAATGGATAGGTAATGGGAGAAAGAGAAAATTTCACAAGATAATAAAAGATAAAAACCTAACTGATAATGAATAAAATAAAAGGAAGTACAAACTAATATTGTATTTTTAAGAAATAGTGACTACATTTTGCTGGCATTAACATTCAAAACTCATTGGGCCAAATAATAGTAAGATGGGTGACATGTCTGTTTTTTGCACAGATTTCTAAAGAAAAAGGACTTAGATAACCTTCATTTAGCTTTCTTGATCACCAGTCCTATACACTTTGAAACCTCCTGACAGGGAATTCTTAATTACTCTTTGTTGAACTCAGTGTGTTTGTGAATGTATGTGTGTACATGTGTACATTACACATAGCAATCTTAATACAGGTAAGTTTTAATTTTCTGGCATTTGAGCTCAGGTTAAAGCACTCTGGCATGTAGACTGCTTAGCTTGGCGAGTTCCCACATGATTCCTGTTGATGAGAATCCCCGTAAGGCAGGGTCTCCAAGCTCTGCTCACTAATGTGACCTTTTGTCTTTCACAGTTACTTTTCTGCTTGGGCAAAACAGAACTAAACGTTACCTCATTTATTCTTATCGATCCCATTGGACTGAACTAGAGTTCCCTCTGTGGGGAAAAATTAGATAACACAGCCCCAGCCTTATTTTCGTTCCTGTTTATAACCAGCTAAATACATTCTTATAATATATTTCATGCTGAAACCATATCCTGATTGGGATTCAAGACAGCTGGGCAACACATTTCTTCCACACAGAAGAAATCTCAAAACAGAAGTCAGGCTAGAAACAAACACTAGTTGCATTTCTTGCCTTTAAAAAATATAGACTCAGCAGTTTGAAAAGACACACACACACACACACACACACACACACACACACACACACAATCTGCAATGAAAACATGAAATCTGTCCATCTCATCATTTGTAATCCAAACTTCTCGTCCTCCAAGGCTGTGTAACTGCTCATGTTTCCATGAGAACTGACAGTGTAAGGCTGGACAGAGGCCTGAGTTGGTATCTGGTAGCACAGAATTGTCAGTAAACTGTCTCCCTGGTTTATAGCACTGTCAGAATGTTGCACACTATACACAAATTATGCTACGTTAGAACCTTTGATACTGGTGACTGTCCAAGTTGTGTTTGTACATTTTTTGAATTAGATGATGAGTGAAATGCATATACCAATCCCTTTCAAAATTTCCTAATTAGATGAGCCTTTGCATGGATTTTCTGGACTGCTCTGTAACCTTTGATGCCTGTGCTTTACCCTCCTATCTATGCGCTGGGACCAGAACAGCAAACCTAGCAGATTAGAAACAGTGCTCAATATAGAAGCTGTAGATGAACATATTTCCTTCTTGGTATATGTGTGTTTAAATAAAATCATAATTTTGTGAAAAGCATAAAGTGCTATATAAACATGATTCACCCTGTTTTTTGTCATTGAAGATGAAACAAATGATTGTGCCATAACCTCCATGCCTTAACACCTTTACATCCTCCCTCCACATTGACCTTGCACAATGTTTCTCTTTTAGAAGTCCCTAAATACACACTTTTAAGTGAATAAGCTCTATCAACTGTTTGACGAGACAAATGAAAAGTAATTTTGGAAATTTTCAAGAACAGTTGAATTGCAATTTGTGTGTTTCACTAACTTTCTTGAATGCTATAATCATCAGCAATTCTAAATACACCAGTTGAATGATTCAATTTGTTTTGGTTTTCTGTTTGACTCACTAAATCAGTAAGAATTAGACATCCTTATTATACTTCCACATCAGATGACTTACAAGTTATCTTCAAAGTGATCACTTTTGAAAAGCGTTTTCTAATTATAACTGGCAATGATGATAAAATTCTTTATTATAAAAATAGATAGTGTTTTCATAATTTGTTATTCTCCAGGTGCTATACTAAGCACATATACATACATGTTTTAATTTATTCTATCCCATAGTGCAGTTTGATAATTATTCCCATTTTCAAGATGGAGGAACCGAGGCTTCGGTGTTAAATAGTGTTCTGGGGTACAATATGTAAATAAAGTAATGAGGACTAAATCCTAGATCTCTCAATTCAGCCTGTGGTACAAACTGCTACTATTATTCAGCATTTTTCTATTCACTACTATACTTATATAGAGACTATAAATATGGTGTAAATAGAGATTACAGTCTGAGATAGATCGATAGATAGATAGATAGATAGATAGATAGATAGATAGATAGATACCATAGACTATGTATAATGTATATATCTATATAATACTGTATAAAGACTTTTCATTCTATATATATCTTGGTGATTTGTTTACACTGTGCTTCAGGATTAACAAGGAATAACTACTACCACTGAGGTTTGGCTAAAACTGTTAAAAAAGAGGTGCTCAGGAAAACTTCAAACATCACATTTATGAGAAGCACTGCCATTCTCTTTATCATGTAGGTTTGTACTAAGAAACTACTTTAACACAACATTCTATTACAGTCTCGAGAAAAAGTATCACGGGTTCTTGATTTGTTGGGCTCTTTAGTGAACAGTGTTCTTCCCTATTTGTTGAATTTGGTGACAGCTTTCAGTGACATTTTGCTGATGTGACGTTACTGCTCTGTGAAGGCATCCCCTAAAGAAAACTGGTCCATGACCTTGGATGTCAACCTGTCATCAGCCTGTGACATTGTGTTGATTCTTCAGAATGATCTGTGACCCCCTGATGGTTTTCTTATATGGGGGTCTTTTTGCACAAGACAAACCTCAGCATGAAGGATGCTGCTTAAGTGTCTTGAGAACACTTGACAGTGGATCTTAGAAATCCCACCAGGTTAAATTTTCTTTTCTCCCCACATCAGCACTTGAGTCTGAGCTGCCTAGGTAGTGCTAATTGCCCAAACTTTAAACTAAGTTCAGATTCTCTTCGATATTATTTAGACATCTTCTTTCACTCTTTAAAAGGAACAAAGGGCACTGGCAGCCTTTTTGGAAAATATCACGCCAAAGTTCACAAAGCCAGGAAGCTAGGGTAGAGCTGTAAAGCACTGAGAAAGGAATTGGCTGAGAATATCTCAAGCTGATGTTTTTAGTGAGAAGTTACAAATATTTCTTTCCTGTAAACTAAAGGGAATTGCTTTCTACCAGATTTCAGATTGTTTTCCATATACAGAAATTAAATTTAAAGGAAGAGTCTAAACAATATCCTTCTTCACACTCATACAAAAGGAAGCAAAATGTATAAATACCATAGTCTATATACATGGGCAACATTCTGTGTATGTGTGTGTGTGTGGACACATAGGTTTGTATTTCTGCTGTTATTGTGAGTTTTTTTCTTTTTATCTATTGGCTTGTGTATCTTTACCATCCAGATTTTGTTGGTATAATGTAAATTAGAAATTAATGAAATTGCTTTGCTTATTTTGAGCTTATATTTTGCTAAGATCAAGTTCTATTTAACCAAACTATTAGGAAAAAAAAATTTTGTTTTACCAACTACACCTAGATTACTTTTATTTGGATTTGTCCCTTAAAGCAAAGCATTAACATTAGTAGCTATCCCTGGGTATTTTTTTGTGTGTGTTATTACAGTGTTAAACTTGAATAAAAACAAGGAAAGTGAGAAGGAATGTGAACAATCGGCAGTTTCATCATGAAATCAGTGATAAGATGAAACAGAAATAAAGTCTGAAAAAATTTTAAAACATCTACTTCTGTTTTTATGAAACAGGCCTTTTATCAAGTGCACTTGTTTTTCCATTGAGGATATATTGCCCTCATTTCTAAAATGAGTGTTTCCTTCACACTCCTGCTCCACTCTCCCTGCCAACTGTAAGAAAAACAAAACATTGTTACTTGTTTCATTCCATTCTTCGGGGCATTTTGTTTGTTTTCGTAACTCAAACTACTGATGTTGCACCTTTTTTGCCTCCCATGTGACAAGATTATCTTTTAACAGTGGTTTATTTTCCTCATGAAAGCTGAGAAGAACACTGATCATAAAGGGACCAGACTCTAAAATTGTTCAGTTTAGGAAACTTTCTCAGAGCTCCTTTTTTTAGCGATATTCAGTCAGGAAGCTCAAAGGTAACTGAGGGAGATTGCATTCTTACCTGCTTAAGAAGATGCATTGGCAGCAGGAAACAATGGTGGACATCCAGATTGCAACAATAATGTCTGCACATTCATGTCTTGCTTCTGATTCGTACATCATACAGTATAGTACAATAACAAAATTATTACTTCATATCCAAGATAGGTGTATTCCAGAAACTTATTTTAAAGCAAAATTACACCGTATACATTTATTGCTGATGATATTTATCATTCCCACATACCAAGCAACAATAAGCTGGCCTCATGCTGTTACTGGTAAAACAATTACGAGCAGAGCTCACGTATGGAGGGAAGTGAAACTTATAAGATTCCAGGGGTCTGCCTTGTTACCTTGATTTTGAGCTATTTGTGCATCTAACAGAAGCTACTTTACCCTTGTTGAATCTCACTCTTATTCATAAAATAGAAATAATAATGGAAATGCAAGGACATTAAAATTGAATTAAGCAAGTTGTAATTATTTAATTAAAATGACAAGTAGTTAGCTGAAATCAGAAAAAGTATTCATCATTAACTAAATATGGTGTTTTCTTGCATTCTTTATGATTTATTTTTCGTGAATGATAATAAGATTCTCTTTCTAAAAGTATAAAAGAATCTTAGAGGCCCCTTGCTAGCCAATGTCTGATCTTATTTCTAATCAAATTCATATCATAATTGTATTTCTGATATATTGCTGCCTAACAATATTACTGCCAAAATGTCCATTTAAAATAATGCAAATTTATATCTTACAATTTTGGTGAATCAAAAGTCTGGCCACAATTTTGCTAAGTCCCGACAAGGCTGCAATGATGCTAACAGACG